GTTTATAAATTTGCTCTTGATATATTTTAGAGTCGTCTCTCTTTTATCATTTATTTAATATTTCACGTAATGAGCAAATATAAAATGGTCGAATCTTCTCCTACAATTGAGTGATACAACATCTTGTATGATACAAACTAAATTTATACTTTATATTATGGTGGATTGAATTAATGGATATTATAGTGACTAAGTTGTAATTTAATTAAATTTGGGGTATCATTATAGTGACTAAGTTGTAATTTGTTATGCAACAGTAACAACTTGTATGGATCCGTTCATACTTGTGATGAAAAGGTTTTGACCAATTCTTTTATATGGCCGTCAATACAACAATCAACAATTTTCATCGTAGCAACAATTTATTGACAATTGCTTATGTAGATGTCGCATATTTTGTTACGCGTTGTTAGTAGAAGTTTGTTTAGTACTCGTAAATGTACTAAATGAGTTTATAAATTTGCTCTTGAATATTTTAGAGTCGTCTCTCTTTTATCATTTATTTAATGTTTCACGTAATGAGCAAATATAAAATGATCAAATCTTCTCCTACAGATGAGTGATACAACATCTTGTATCATACAAACTAAATTTATACTTTTATGTTATGGTGGATTGAATTCATGGATTGGTTCAAAATGATTGGTGGATTGGATTCATAGATTCAAGTGAATCTAAACATTGGAATTGTATGTACGAAAATCTCATAAAATTTAGACACCAAAACATTATTGTTCAATGATTTTACATTAAATTTAAAGGGTAGTGTCTATTGTTTATCCAAACCTTTTTCAGATTCTTTTATTTTATCAAAACCTATCGAAATAATATGAATTAACCAAACGTATTGTATCATATCAAAGTTTGGGCTTTCATTCCGTTACCGTTAACTATTTTCTAACAGTGATTCACCTCTGCGTCCATGTCAGCATCCACCTCAGAAATCCATAAATTTTAATTTCCCATATCACTTAATAGAATACTAGCTTTAAGCTCGGCCGTTGGCCCGGTTGGGTCCCATTTAATTATCTTTTTTATAATAAAAAAATTATCCACTTTGAGCCAACCAAAAAAGAAAAAATTACCACTATCCATCTATACTGATTAATTATCATCATACTTCAACTATTTTGTGTACATTTTTCAAGATATACTTGTGATATTTCATGTAGCCAACTATAAGTTTAAGTAATAAATAATTTTATGTTTTATGAGATATTAACTTGTATGAATCAGGTAATTTATCAATTATACACTCAATAATTTTTAAATAATGTTTAGTCATTGACGTATGAAATACACGTTTCAAAGTGAAGACATTAAACTTTCAATAAAACAAATTAAATTTTGGCAAAATTTATAAAATACTATTGGTAAAAAATTTCAATATTGGGCATCAATCTCATGATAGGTCGTCTATTATCTAAGTTTGACTCATTCCCACAATGATGTTTTACCAAAAAATTCTCATGTTGAAATTGTGATAATATAAAGTCCCGATGCATTGTATGTATGCGAAGATTCATGAACTAAACACACTGAAAAATCATCTTCCAGACAATATAGATCAATTTATAAAGTGCGATATTTGAGCTAAGGTTCAACTAAGAATTCTTAAAAAAATAGTACCAAGTGTATTTTCACCAATGTTTTAGAAATCCACCGCACTACCCGGTTGGAGCGAAAATATTGAATATCAGACTCTAAACGATAGGTGATTTTAAACGGTGTAAAACACAATTGAATCACAGTCAAACCATAATTTTTATACAAAATATCTTATTACTAACATTTTGTTTAAAAAAATTACTGACTTATTTTTGTATAACCTCCGATACAATTTCACAATTATTAATTTTAACCAACCAAACAAAATACAATGAGAAAATTCTCGAGAATTTGCAAATTGGACAAACACGAGTCTTTTAAAAAATAAAGCACGTACTTACCAAATAAAATAAAGCATGTGAAAGAAAATAATAAAATATATAAAAATTGGCCGCTGCTGTTTGCAAATGCGGAAAAAGAAAAAAGAAAAAGAAAAAAAAGGAAATTCCGCAAGATGCGGTGAAGAGTTTTGGGAGAAAACGCTTTACAGTATTTAGAGAAATAAAAACTGAATCGCTAAATGTCGCCCTTAAAATTGCTAACGGTCGCCCTAACTCTAATGATAAATGACTTATTTACCCCCAATAAAATTTCAAAATTTAAACAAACCAAACAATCCCTAACCCCTCAAACTGAACCCCTCATCTGCATTCTTCGCGAATCCATCTCGACGCACCAGTTCGTCGGCGTCTTTCCCGCCGTCATCGTCGCCCGTTCTAATTTCCAAAAAAACGCTCAACCTAAGGCAAGTTACGGTTGGTCCATGGTGCAACCGCAACTCACTTGCGATTGGTCCATGGTGCAACCGCAAGTGAGCTGCGGTTGGCCCATGGTGGAACCGCAAGTGAGCTGCGGTTGCACCATGGACCAACCGCAACTCATTTGCGGTTGCACCATGGACCAACCGCAAGTGAGCTGCGGTTGGCCCATGGTGCAACCGCAAATGAGCTACGGTTCCCTTTTTTGTTTTTTTTTTTCAATTTTTTTAGTGGACTTTACCGATTCAGAGTCGCTAGTCATGATCCAGACATCATATCGACGATTCCAACTCCGGAATGACGATGATGGATTCTCTCTTTTGAATAATGTTTTATTTTCTTTACTAAGAGGTGTTTGTTTGCTAAAGGAAGAATAAAGTGGCTAAAAGGTTAAATTTGTAACTTTGATGTTTTTAGGGCGACATTTAGCAATTTTAAGGACGACGTTTAGCAACTCCCAATAAAAAACCCAGAACAAAGAACATCTTTGTTCCTTTTCTCCTTCATCGGCCGCCACCGCCGCAGTTGGCTCGCCGGTCTCCTCATCCTTCTCATTCTCTCAATCCTCATTTAGCTTTAGGAAATAGCGATCCATTCAAACATGACCAAGGAATTGTAAAGCACAGCCAAACACATCGCCATTTCCCCGGAGAATATTTGAAATCTCCTCCTCCCAATTTTGAAGATTTTTCATGGAAGGAAAGCAAGGCTAGGAAGATTGTGTACGGAGGAGGGGCCTGGAGTGCGCGGGACTCGGGATCCATTATAGTGATTAAGTTGTAGTTTGTTATTCAACCGTGACTCTACTTCAACTCTATATATAGTTAGAACTGGCAAATGAGGACCCGACCCGTTGACCCGACCCGAACCCACCCGAAAAATAAAGAATGGATAGAGATTTTTATAACCCAAAACCCGAATGACCCGAATCCGATTAACCCGTAGTTTTCGGGTCGGGTTGGGTTGGTTTATGGGTCGACCCGCTAGACCCGTTTCATTGAATATGTCACTCTCAAAATGATAAAATGACTCATACTTTGGTGAGATGTTTAAAAAAATTTATTAGGATTTGAAAGACAAGTTTGGAGTGTAAAGATAATCAAACATCATATGTTTATTGTAGTAGTATTACTTTCGTCATTGTGTTTTGACAATTTATGCAATTTAAAAATTTATGAAGCATGTTTGATATTGATTCTGAGAACGCTCATGACCCGAAATGACCCGAAACCCGATGGGTTGGGTCAATATTTGACCCGAAATCAGCAAACCCATCATGACCCGACCCGTGAAGATCCGTAATCCGAGATTCCCAACCCAAAATTACCCAACCCGACCCGATTGCCAGGTATATATAGTAACATTTAGAAGCATTCAACATCAAATATATTTTAACGTTTAATTCAAGAAATTGTAACAAAAACTATGTAGTCCAGTTGACTATATTACTCATTCTTCACTTGAGTGACCTAGGTTCAAACTTTATTAATGAAAGTTTAATATATATAAATAGGGTTAATGCCACGTTTGATCACTGGGTTTACTAAGATGTGTCATGTTTAGTCACTAGAAATGTCACGTTTGATATTAATTTTTTCTAGTTACTAAAAATGACACGATTTAGTAATTCTAGTGACCAAATGTGGCATTTATCCTATATAAATAATAATTAGGTAAGTTATAAAAAAGACATTCTTACAATCAACCAAACATACACATCTTTTTCTGTTTTCTAGTTCACCATCGACTGACCTCTCTTAACTCTTAAGAGACTTCTAGCTAGTAGCTTCCGATAGTCTTATCCAGATAAAGCTATTAGTAGGCTTTGCTCTAGCCTCCGAGAAAGTAGGTTTAAGAATGTATTTTGCCTTCGACGCTAGGGATGAAGGTATTGTGACATCATTCCATAATAGTTTGCCAAGCATAGCTTTAATAAAAGCTTTTACATCTCGAAAGCATAATGGTTCCATTCAGGTGGGAGATAACTCAGATCTAGGTAGCCGATCACCATTTTTCTCACTAGAGCACCAATTAACATTCGAATTTATTTTTATCCCTGTTGAGTAACCATCATCAAAGCATGGACCTTGGTGAGGCGCCATTTGTTCCACGGCACAATCTTGTGAGGTTGTTTTCTATGTTGTTGTCTCTTTCAAATAAAGCTTTCCTAATATCAACTAGAAAGACTCCACCCCCAGAACCCGGAAGCTAAATTCTTGTGATAAGGTTGTCACCTCTCTTTTCAGCCCCTGCAAGAATTTGGTTGATCTCAATTTTGATTCACCACCACCAGTCCAGAACATACAAAGACCACCTGCTCGACCTTGAGCCGGAATGACTTCACCATTCTTGAAGCCTAGCTCAACTATAATGTCTCTCCACTCTTACTCTGAGGTGTTTTTCCCCCCATTAAAATGAGGTTTCTGTATAATTTCATTTCCTCAATACACCCAGCCAAGTTTGTGATCAATTATTACAAACAGGGAGGACTTTGTCAATTTCCAAGATTACCAATAGTGTGGAAGCAAATGTCAAATTCTGCTAGCTTTATATTGAAACCAGATTTATCCCTGTATGCATCTACAATACAAGAAAAACAGTTGTAGGATAGTTACCCCTGGTGCTGGCGGCAATTCACATTTTGCTAGAAACAGCAAGGTATTTGGTATGACGCCCCTGAGCAATAATCTTGCCGGTTTTCTTCTTCCTGAACTCGACGCTGACAACTCCAACAGCCTTCCCAACTCGCAAGATTCTGGCTTCAATTTCTATCTCTTCCTGTTTCAAATCATCGACTTTATTATATCTGAGCTACCTTCGAGACAAGACTTGATGCGTGCAAGAAGGAAGCGAGAATTATATGCCAATTGATATTCAGAAGTTCACAGTCTAATACAAAGAATTGTTTGGAGCTTTCCACCCGAATTAAGATTCGAATGGGCCATAGACATTCACTGCCTTATTAGGCAGGCAAAGATGAATACCACAGGAAACCGTGTATCTAGTTCTGAGTTTCGAGCAAGACAAGGAAGCAGAGCTCTCGTTCCCATGCCGAAAAAATGCATGAAATGATAGGTGGAGCAAAATCTATATCTTTCAACCATTACTATCTCAACTGAATGCAACTACGGACTTCTGCGTCCTCAGCATAATAAACACAAGGAACTTCACTTCTTGCTGATTGTAGAGCGAAACTAGTTTATATATATATTCTTATTGTACAAAGGTTGAACTACTAAGGAAGTGGCACCCGGACTTCAAAGCTGAAACTAGAGGTATTCAACATTGTTTACAGTCACAGCCAAGTCCGAAAAAAGTTTACCAGCAAACTAGAAAACTAGAAAAGGAAGAAGAATCATTTACGACAGGAAACTGTTCTTCTATTAACAGAACGAGCAACATACAGATGCACCAAACTCAGTTCTTCAACCTCAAAATACAGAAATCACATTGACCTAGCAAATATGTTTCAGAACCTCATCACAATTTTCTACAGAAAAACAAATACCACTGCTGGTCATTTGCAATTGACATCAGTCAAGGGAAGGAACAATGATCACTTGAACGACCATGTGCAAGATTGAGTCTAATACAAGTAAAAGAGTGACACAGAAAGAGCAGTAATACCCACATTGACATAAGCAGCATCCAAGTATGAAACGTTGATTTCAACTGAAACTCCAGTCTGCGGAGCTCCAACCGTGAATATCACAGCTGACCCAACCAAATCAACGAGTGTGGCTGTGGCTCCACCGTGCAAGAAGTTGCCAGCGTTCTGCAATACTGAACATGTATAATATCGACGAAAACTCAACTCCCAACAATCAGGAGCGTAATTTACACTAGAACCGAGCAAGGGGGGAAAAGGTCTAAGCAAAATTCCCACACCAAAGCCTGCAACTTTCAGTTCTGAAATAAACAGGATAGTCTTCTAATCCTCAAAATTCCACCCATATTCAGCTAACAAACAACCCTAAATGAAGAATTCAGGTCATGGCAAAATTGGGTTTCTCCTTAAATCGAGCGACAAATGATAGAAAGGAGCAAGTTAGCGTACCAGGAGACGAGGTGGGACTTTCATGGAGCAAATAACGCGACCGGGTTCGACAAAATCGACATGAAGGCCTTGCATAATGAATCGCTCGAAGAATCTGTTAGGAATACCGTCGATCGCTGATCGATTCTTGTCATCATCTTCCAGAAGCCCACTACCTTTCTCCAGATACCTCTTCACGCTCTCCAAATCCATTAGTCCTTCTATTTTCTCTGTCGATCTTCAGTAGACGAAGCCGGTGACCAGACCTCATCAACTACATGTGGCTGAATTACGCCATTGACCCCTTAGGAGTTGTTTGGAGCTTGTGATTTGATGTGGTGTATTGAGTTACAAATTTATAATATATGTATTTATTTTTTAAGAATTTGCTTCTCATTTTCAAAATGAAGAATTGACAATTTCTAACTAAAGCTGAGATTGTGAAAAAATTTACAATATATGTATTTACTTTCTAAGAGTTCACTTATGATCTTTAAAATGAAGGATTGACAATTTCTAATTAAAACTGAGATTGTGAACAAATAATTGTCTATCGATCTTTTTATTCCATTTTTGTCTCTTATATTTTTTTTCTTATTCCAACATTAGCCTCGTTCATTCATTCATTCATCATCTCTCCTATGCTCCTCCTAGAAATTCCACTCGAATCATTGCCTCCTTACCATCATTGCGGAGTCGGCCTCGTAACTGTAGATCCCGCCATCGAAAACCCGTTGGGAATCAAAGCAGAAGGGCACTGGGTTTCAGCAGGGAATCGATGGAGACCTACCAAAAAATTTATATTATTTGACAATTAACCATTAAAATGATGACATGACAATTAATAACAACAAAAATATTTTTATTTATTTTTACACATCATCTCCACCCCACAACAACACCATCCAATGTTTTCCCTTATCCTTCCTCTTTGTTCCCTAAAAACCTACACTATCCACCGTCTCTTGAAACAACCATGCTACCTCTTCCCCACTGACCCACTCACATCCCCTTAGCAATGTGGTGGGGCAGATACCTCAATATTCATACCCGCCATACACTAAGTGCGAGTTAGGTTGAGTAATACTTGATGATGTCATATCGAGTGATAAATCCTAGGATGCCCTAGGGTCGTATTTCACGAGGTCTTTTGATAGTAACTACTCAAACCTAACCTATTGAGCTCGAATTAAGATGCAAGAAAAAAGTAAATATGATGTGGGTTGAGGCGCCCTTAATTTCGTGGCCCTACTCTACTTATGCAAGGAAACAAGCAAACAATGCATTGCTAGCAAGGATGCAAACATGTAAAGCAAGTAAAAGGGTTGTTTAGCTAGTGTTCTCTAGATGATCACGCATACTAACTAAAGAATGAGATTCTCTTATGAAGGGCTATCCTTTCCTCTAACGCCACCCTCTACCCCGTGCATGCGCATCTTGGGATAGAGATCTGACTCAGGGACGGAGCCAGGATTTGAAATTAGGGGGGGGGGGGGGGAGACGAATTTTTTTACCTTTGAATACCTACAAATTTTTTTCCACATGACATAATGAATAAACGAAATTAAGTTGAATTATAAATTAACATAAATAATCGATGATTTATCTACAAAAAATAATCGGTGATTAATAATTCATGGATAAGCTTCCACCTTTTTTGAAATCAAAATACAATTACGGTCATGCAATAAAATCAAAAATTAAAATCAATTTAGCATGACATTCTGTAAATTCATGAGAAAATATTTCAATAGTTTCTGGAAAAAAGAAGCTAAAAAGCAATCACTTATTTGAAATTTATTCAAAAAATGGATTAAATCAAACCTTCTCTTGCATCAAATGTAATTAACTTTATCATAATGATGAGGGTTTCCTTGCAAAATTAAAGTAAAGTATGAATAACAATGAGAGGTGTATGGAGGAAGTGAATATGAGGAAGTGAAGTTGATATCAGAGAAGGAGTAAACATATGCCCATCTACATGGATCGAATTCTGGTCAATTTATAATACGCTAACCAGGAACCAACATCTCAACCATCGGAGCTATTCGCCGATTATGTAACACATTCGGTATTGTGATGATTTTAAAATCATAGAGGGGGCCATGGCCCCCCCTAGAAGCAAGCTGGCTCCGTCCCTGATCTGACTAGTCAATGCATGCTTTCACTTCTTGTCATCACCTAGTCAATGAGAACAATAAAGTTAGGCCACAACAATTGGACTTGACATGGCTTGGCAAAGAGGTTATCAAAAATTCTATCTTTGCCTCGACACAACCATTGCAACGAACATTATCAGGAATAAACAAGAAATTGACCATCGACACGACTGATTGCAATGGAAATTAACCGATTGTCGGCTCATGATTGGTTGGTCAAGATTAGTCACACATATAGAGAATGTAATAGAGCTGTAGATTTTTTTTAGCTAACAAAGGGCATAGTCTCTCTTTTGGCACTCATTTGATTGATATTGGGGATCCGGGGCTTACAAACTAAATCCATTTTTTTATGCTATGGGTATATCCCAATAATGCTTTATTGTTAATACGAATTGAGACACCCTAGTTGTATATCTTTCTACAAAATAAACCAAGGAAGTTAGGGTACCACATGATTAATTGTGGACTTCTACTAACCATAATCGATGGTCTACATCGATGATTTAACAATCAAGTATTGATACTAGTCGATGCATAGATGGCTAATTACTCCTCCAATACACGCTTAGCATCGATGGGGTATCACTAGATGTTAATTTCTTGACAACCTAGATAATATTGAGCAATGGATGACACAAGTATATATCAACTCAATCATCAATTGCAAAGATATTAAACACAATAAACATCTCATTGAATCATAGAAAGTAGTACATAAAGTATCAAATAGTCACTCCCTAAAAAATTTCGAGTTTACCTATGCATAAGAGAATAAGATTATATCACCAATGATACAGGCATTAATGTTCAAACCTCCTTGTCGAGCTCCAGCAGGACTTTGCCTCCTCTCTATGGATATCTAACTCCTGTCCCAGGGCAAAGTGCTGGTAAAAGGTGTGTCTAAAGTGTAGTCTTGTGCCTCTATTTATACTTGTTACAGAAGGGGGAGGGGTTTCTAGTCTCTTTTCCTCCTAAATTCGGTCACAATCATCCTTATCCAACTTGAAATCGGATGCCTTTAACTTGTGGACGAAGTTACTTGCAAAGGAAGCTTCCTTGAAGGCTAGGGAAAAGCGGCAATGCCATGGCTCTTAGATCCACCACTCTCAATTCTTAGTTAAATCAGTCCATTTGTGGGCAACTTTCTCTTGGGCTTATGGACATGCTCATGAAATTTCAACTCGTTTGGACTTCGTTTGACCCTTCTTCTATTCAAAATACTATCATCTGATCCATATCTTGAGCTTTCGTTGTTAGAATCCACATCTGTTTGGGACCATGAGCTTGTATCCTATACCTTTTTTGATCCATTGGGTCACTAGGTGATCCATATTCGTCTTGAGCGGTTTATAACCTCCAAAAGCATAAAATAACACCATTAAGGCATCAAATAGTACATAAATACACTCAAGGTCTATCATAAGCAAATTAATCAAATAGTTATGAATTCCATATGAAATATCATCAAAACCACTAAAGATGCATTGATAGAGGGGAAAAATGTATCAAATATGAGAGTGATAAACACTATAAATTGAGTGTCATCACCTGCACGGGTACGCAACAGTGCAGGTCAACCTATTCTTATATGTTATGTAAAAAAAGAACGTCAAAATTTAACTCTTTTACAAGAACATATAGAGAAAACACTTCATAAATGAATGAGAAATATAGTAGAAGAAATCATTGAGTCTAAATGGTTGAAAGATACAGTACTAAAAAACTTTTGGATGAAAATATGGTTGTAGGGAGGTCAAAAGAGGAGAAATATGTGTAGATATTGATGTATATAATGATAGAACGGGTCGAGAACGAGGAAAAAGGAGGCAGGGAAGGTCGGAAGCAATACCCATGCCCTGCCCAGCGCTACTGCTGGACAGGTAATAACCGTCCCAAACAGATCAGGGACGTTCCGGTCGCGCGGGTAAGGGGCATGAGTATTCCTAAGGTGAAATTAGCAAAAAATTAATAGTACCCCAACTATTAATAGTAACTCAATTGATTTTTTTTAAATGAAGAATAATTGTAGCTCAGCTTATCCTAACCACGTTTTGTTAAAGATCTAGGGATTATGGTGTGGACCATGGTCCTACTGATTTATGTATACGACATAATTGTAGGAGTGTTGCACAGAAAAATATAGATCACATTAAAATAACTTTAAGCAAAGAGTTTATGGTTAAAAGTTTTGGACCATTGAGTATTGAATCGTTTCTAACTACACAAATAAAATCCCAACTAGAGCCCAAGTATAAACTCTAGTAGGATGTAGTGTAAGAAGGTCTTTTAAAAATGTTAACCTGGGCCGCTCCATGTACTCCTACTTCAACCGTTTAAAACGTTATCTAGCTATTGGTTTTGAGTGAAAACTAAAAACTACAGTTTTAAGAAAGCAAGAATTCGAATTGTTGTGGATTCCATATGAGAAAACTTCACCCGGGTATTACTCCCCCTAGTCGAATTGCAATAATTGGAACTCTAGTGCAAAATAGTGTGTTCTTATACCGCGAGGATGGCATAATTAGTAGAAATTTCCCACTCTCTTAGGCAATCAATTAAGGAAAATCAATTAAGCTTGGTGACTCGACTCTACTGTCACTCCAGGAATTGGCCAAGTGTAACCACTTCCTAAAGCGTAGTATAGCGGGTTTAGGTTTAATTATCAACCCGGGTCCTAGATTTGCTGACTACTCAGTGAGTTCTTGTTATCTAGCAATAAAACTGGAGTGCAAGTCTAATCTACCAACCAAACAAAGCAAGTAAACGGTTGTATTCAGGTTAAAGAGGTCACCCGGATATGGTTCCCCCTAGACTGCAGTTAAGCCGGATTGTAATTACCAAGTTCAGTTTCTATGACAGTTATACTGCGGAAGGTTCTCAAACAGCCTGAAGTCTCGACTAAAGGTCTTCAGACCCTCTCAATCTGACTCTCTAGCGGGCGACTAACCTCCACCAGAATCGACAGATTGAGGCCCTAAGAACAAAACCTCCACTACCGGAGTAAATCCGGTACAGAATAGTGAGTTGGCTCCTCGACTAAAGTCACCAACT